AGAGAAGACCATTGAGGAAAAAGGCCCACAAAACACACCAGAACAAAATAAAGAAGAGAACGATGTGATTCAAATAGTCCAACAAAAGCCAGCGAACCCAGAACAAAAGAAGGAAGGGTGTTGTTAATTACTTGGTTTTGTTTTACATCCATTTTACTCTCTAGACATTTATATAGTTCATGTATAGTTTTAGTATAGTTCAAAGAAGACCCAACCGTGAGTCTTCATATTTTGCAAATTACAACTCTTTTCTCTTTGAATTTTGGAAAAGAAGTAGGGTTTCTCGTATTGTATTTTTTTTAATAAAAAGAACTAAGTATAGTAATGACATTCTTTTGTGCTAACTGCGGTAATTTGTTGGTCGTAGAGGATGGCACGGAGTTGTACTTCAAGTGCAGTACATGCCCATACAAATTCACGTTCAACAAAAAGATCGTCTACGAGTCCGTGTTAAAGAAGAAACAACTAGACGCAGTTCTGGGAGAAGAACAATGGAAAAACGCCCAAAAAACAGACAGTTTGTATCTTGTATGGAATAACATTTTGAATAACATTTTTAGTCAACTGCGAGAAGTGCGGGTTTGGTCAGGCCTATTTCATGCAAATCCAGATCAGGTCGGCTGATGAACCGATGACTACCTTTTATAAGTGTGCGAACTATGACTGTGGATTCCAATGGAGAGACGGATAGACACTACTACTTCTATTTCTGTATAACTCAGTGTTATTTGAATTGAATATCAAATACTATATTTTATAAGTATTTTATTATACTTATTAGTTGTATAATAGTGTTTTATATAACTATATCAAAATATTAAACAATAGTTTAATCTTTTTCTACAATACTACCAATTACTATTCACAAGTAGTATTTTTACTATACAAGAAATTAGAAATACAACCACAGAAAGAATGAAGTAAACAGATTGTTCCTCTGAACCCGAAAAACAGCACTATTATTAAGTAAAATAGAAGTGAAATTGTGATTGAATTATAGATGAGTGGAGACTCTTCACAAAACATTTATCTTCTGGAAATTACATAATGCTATTACTTCTGTTGATTGCTGAGGTTATTTCTGTAGAAAATAAATGTGTTTTTAATCGAATCAACAGAGAGACGGTCAAAGGAGTTATCCCTTCAACTGGGATAAAAGGAGATGGGGGGTGGCATCCAATCCGGTTTGTATTTGATGTAACGAAGTTCTTGTTCGATACATTTGGGTATTCAAAAGCTTACTGATAGTTTCACATACGATTTGATTGCCCTCACAGATTACTCGTATTCCGCGGTACCTCCTTGTCTATACGAAAACCAAGCCATCTCAATGGGTATAATTAACCCAACTATATACAGATGTTTGGCGGACGATGTGTTGACTCCCGAGAAGGTCGAGTATATATCTGTTTGTTGGTATGTGACACTTCTATATATGCATGAGTTCCACATTAACAAATAGAGACTCTTTAAAGCACTCAACGACTCAATTAGTAGTTACTTCCAAGTGCATCAAATCGACTTTAAGAAGCAAGTCGCTGCTGGGAAGTACTGTGGCGATGCCAAATTTGAGAGTTCGTATACCATCCCAAGTGATACTGATTTTCACATTATGGTTCTGTCACACCCATACTCCACTCCAGGCGTGTTGGCGTATGCTGCAAGTTGCAGTTCGACTTCGGACTACCTTGTGAATCGTCAGCGCCCTGTTTTGGGGTATGTCAATGTTGTTACAAAACAACTCAAATTGTCGGAAGACAACTTCAGAGACCAACTTGGTGTTGTGTTCCATGAGTGTATGCATGCAATGGGGTTTGATGGAGACTTAGCAGTCGACAAGCAGGTTGGTGATTTAAACCTTCGAGTAATCACTGACGAGATCGTTGTTTCTCGCGCACGAAAACATTTCAATTGTCCGAACATGTCATACGTTCCACTCGAAGATGGTGGAGGGAGTGGGACTGCTGGGTCGCATTGGGAGCGTCGGTTATTCATATCAGAAATCATGAATGGGATAGCATCGACCAATCCCCGGGTGAGTGAATTTACACTTGCGTACTTTGAAGCGATGTTGGTGTACAAAGTGAATTACGACCAAGCCGACGCATTCTCTTGGGGAAGGAATGAAGGGTGTTCTTTCTTGTATAATTGTTCGGAATGGAGGAAACAAAATGGGTATCGCTGTATGAGTGGTGTAAGGAGGTGTACCAATGATCGATCGGGTGTTGGCGTATGTGATGGGAATACGTTTAAAGAGACTTTGAATAGCTCGTATCAACACTATGGAAGTCCAAACATTGGAGGAAATGATGAAATAGCAGATAATTGCATTTTTGTTTCTTCATTATCAAGTGGGTCATGCTTCAAAAGTGTATCGCCACTCACTATGGACTATTACATTGGAACGGAAATGCTCAACCATGGACAGGGACACGGTCCAAATGCACTTTGTTTTGAAAGTTCATTAATTAAGGCGATTCCGTTTGGCATCAGCAATTCACACTGTTACAACGTCTCGTGTTTCAACAATTCGTATTACAAAGTGAGTGTCGATGGGAAGTACTACACGTGCAAAGACAGACTTTATGTGAGAGGGTTTGGTGGGTTGTTAGAATGTGCAGATCCGAAAGATATTTGCGGAGTGACTGGTGTGACAGACTGGCCAGAAGTAGAAAGTGTGAGTCAGAGTGTTGTTCAGCTAGACACTGAAGTGGTTTTGTATGGAACACACTTGGACAACGTTGTTAAAGTGTTATTAGATGAAACAGAATGTGATGTGTTATCAGTGAGTGAACATATGGTCGTATTCAAAGTTGATTACAGAGACCCGTACGTCAAATCCGTTCAGTTCAAAGTATCGCTTCAAGTGTATGTGAATGAGACAGTTAACTCGTGTTATGACGATTTCATCACATTAGACCTTCCAATAAAATACATGTTTTTAAACCTAGGAGATTGGACAATGAAGAATTACATATTCTTTGCAGTCTTCCCTGTGTGGATCATTGCTATTTGTATGTTGATTGGGTATGGTGTATTAAGTCGAGTCGTTGAGAGACAAATGACAGAGATCGTTGAGGTGCGTAAAGAGATCAATGATAAGCTTAATAGGTCGGATCCCTCCAAAAAGAAGAAAAGATGTTGCAATTGTTGTTGTGAGATACTCTAAGTCCCGGCTCTTTCTCTAAATTCATTATTAGTATAATTTACTATTTATATTAATACAAGTATTTCACAAAAAGAACATATTGATCAAAATAGTGTATTACATAGTATAGTAAAAATATAATTAAAACAATAGTATCAATGACTAATTTACAAAAGATGTAAACTGAACTTATTAACAGAGGAGATGGACAACAGAGAAGACGACAGTTTCTTTGAAGAAAGTAAAAAAGGTTTTGAAGCAACAACAGAAGAAGAATTTGTTATTAATAACAAAAAGGTTGAAGAAACAAAACCATTTGACGACTATTTCACGCCAGAGCAATCAGACTTGGTCTATGAAAGAAGCGAATTTATTACAGACCCAAGCTTGATCCCAAAAGAATTAATCGAAAGAAGAAAAGGGTATAACAAGAGAGGAAATAACAAAAGAAGGTATGACACAAAACCTCGGAAACCCTCCGTAATGGCTCACGAGACTTTACAATCGAGAGTCAAACCACTTGGCAAAACTGATGAGTTTGGGGCACCACTAACAGCTCGTAGAATTGCTGACAGAAGCGAGAAAGAGTCTGAAGATATCCGCCCGAAGTTTATTATAAAAAATAAGGTCGACGAGATTCCACACTTTGCTTCGGAAACGACAATGGAGTCATCGGCATCAACAGACGAGAACTTCTTTGTTACCGACAAAAGCGATTTCTTCTCTATCGACGACGACTTTAGTTTGTTTGGCTCCGAGAAGAAACAGCCCAGTTCGTCGGAGGATGTACAACTCTACTAATTTATGTCTTTCAAGTGTTATTTCCAACCAGTAAAGAACTCAATAAACTCGAAATAAAGAAGAAATGGCGATACTGATGGTGGCAGAGAAACCATTGTTAGCCGAATCCATTAGCAAGTTTTTGGCGACAGGGCCCATCAACACACGACGGGGGATTTCAGGGTTTGTTCACGAGTTCATGTGTAACTTCAGAGGGCGCCCACAGAAGGCGAAAATGACAGCGGTAGCGGGTCACGTATACACATGTGAGTTTGAGGCAGACTTCCAAAAGTGGAGTGTCGACCCCGAAGCGCTCTTTTCATGTAAAGTCAAAAAAGAAGAGGCGAACCCTAAAACACACATTCCAGCTCATCTAAAGAACGAAGCAAAGGGGTGCAGCGCGATAGTGTTGTGGCTTGATTGTGATAGAGAAGGGGAGAACATTTGCTTTGAAGTGTTAGATAACACAGTGGACTACATGCAAAAGGGGTGTCGTATATATCGCGCCATTTTCAGTTCAATTACTAAAAATGAAATTGTGAAGGCATTCAATAATTTGGGAAGCCCTGACCCAAGACTTGCCGAAGCAGTCGATGCGCGACAAGAAATTGATTTGAGAGTAGGAGCCGCTTTCACCCGACTCCAAACAACATTTTTGAAAGAGAAGTTCCCACGGATGGGAGACGCACTTGTCTCGTTTGGTCCATGTCAAACACCGACGTTAGGGTTTTGTGTGCAACGATATAAAGACATTCTCAATTTTGTTCCAAAGGCGTATTACATTGTTAAAGTGAATGTCAACGACTTGAGTGGCCGCTCCAAAAAGTTGAAATTAGAAAATCGGTTTGACGACAAAGCAAAGGCAGACGCTGTTCTTGAAGAGTGCCGGAGTTGTTCTGGAATAGTAAAGAAAATGAATGTCACGGAGTCTCGAAAGAGTCGACCGACTGGGTTAAACACAGTTGAGATGCTGAAAGGAGCATCACTACGGTTAGGAATGAGTCCGTCGGACACGATGCACATAGCAGAGAAGTTATACACACAAGGATATATCTCATACCCAAGAACAGAAAGTACAAAATTTTCACAACATTTTGGGTTTGACAGTATTTTAGCCGAACTTGGGAGCTCAACACAGTTTGCAGAAAAGGTCCAACTTGTGCGAGCGAATGGAATTAATGTGCCAAAAGGTGGTGAAGATAAAGGAGACCATCCTCCAATAACTCCATTGACATATCCACAATTTGCTTTAGGCGATGGGGAAATGCGGTTGTATCAGTACATATGCAATTCATTCTTGGCGTCCCTTTATAAAGACGCTGTGTTCCAAAAGGCAAGTGTGTCAATCGAATTTGGGAAGTATAGCTTTAGTGGGAGTGGCAAGATCTTGAAAGATCCGGGATTCCTTAAAATGACTACTAAACTTGATGACGACGATGATGAAGAGGACGACGCTATCATGCCGGATTCATTCAAATTGAATGAAAAAATAGAGGGAGGAAAATTCGAGATCAATAAGGGGATGACTACATGCCCGGACTATTTAACTGAGTACGAGCTTATCACGCTGATGGAGAAAAACGGAATTGGAACAGACGCAAGTATCCCCGTACACATTGGGAATATCATTAATAGAGGGTATGTCACCTTGAACGGCGCGAAACGAACATTACAACCGACAAAACACGGACTTGCATTAACGAAAACGTATGACGCGATAGAGAAGAAATTGGTGAGTCCAGAAATCCGAGCACATATTGAGAGTAATGTGTGTAGAATTGCGGAGGGCAAAGCGGATATGGACTCTGTGATCAGCGAAGCGTTGGAAGTCTTTGAAAACACGTTCTTGAAGTTGCGAAAGAACTTGAAAGTACTTGAAGACAATTTTGGCGAGTTGTACCAAGTGCAGGATCAAAGCCGGTCGTTTTCAAATTGTGGGAAGTGTGGGCGGATGTTGATGAAAGTGATATCAACAGACACGTACCTGATGTGTAACACTTGTGCAAAGAAGTATGAACTGCCACAAAAGTGTACATATACACAAAACAGTGTTTCGTGCCCCATCTGCAATTTCGAGACGGTGATGACTACAACAAAGGATTTCAGCAAGAAGGAGTTGATATGTCCAAATTGTTACAATTCAAAGAACGACTATATGGCAGAAGACCACAGCGGTTGTCTGAATTGCATGAACCCCAAATGTAAATTCAGTCGGGAGTATACTAAAGTATGTCTCTGCAGTGTGTGTGGTGGGGAGATGTGCCTTTCGCTGCTTCAGAACAAATACAGTTGTTTCTGTTGTACTTGTGAAAGCCATATTGAATGGAGCGCTGATGTTAAAAAAGCCACAATTGGTGTTCCTTGTGAGAAGTGCAAACAATATCATACCATCGATATTACTCTCAAGAACGGACAGACTGTTACTGGCTGCCTTCAATGTGACCTTCCAATAAAAAAATTGTCTGACATCAAAGCAGTGTTTCCTGGTGAAGAAAAACGTGGTGGACGTCGAGGAAGAGGTGTGTATCGTGGGAGAGGTGGATTTTCATCAAGAGGTCGTGGAGGCTCTCACGCATCTTCTCGCGGTGGTTCTTCAAGTCGAGGACGTGGTGGCAATACAAGAGGAAGAGGTGGTCGAGGTAATTAACACTTTCAATTTCAAGTTCTTTTCAATTCCTCAATCTCATAATTCTTTGGTTCAACAAAAACAAAATTCCGATTTTTAAAATCAACATTAAAAGTGTGTTATATGCTTTCCATATTATCAGTCTTCTCGACCTTTTCAATCTTTGCGGGTTTCACTGGAATATCGTCACTGTCTTCGCTACTCTCAGATGATGATGAACTTTCATCGTCACTTTCTTTGTCTTCTTTGTTGTTCTCAATGGGAACATCTTTGACTACAAGGAGTGGATTTTCTGCAACACGTTCGGGACTTTTTGTTATTACAATACAGTTGGAAAGAAAGTCATTCACTACGTTCGACTCTCTCACATCGATTTTTCGGAGCAAATTGCATTTCAAGAGACTTGTAATTGCCTTGTCGCTCACTTTCGTACGTATCAAATAAAGCACTTCTAGCCATTTACAGTTGACCATTTCCTCAACGCCATCATCATCAACAGATGTATTCGACAAATCTAGACGCTTCAAATGTTCAATTTCACTCAAATATTTCCACACGAATTTTCCTCCAATTTTGTTGCATCCATTCAGTCTCAAAGTCTCCACAGAAAGCTCTCCCATCTCTTTCAAAGAATCGATAACAACTTCGGCACACCCATTCATGTTGAGCACCCGCAGACTTCCAAGGGTTGATAACACGTTAATTCCCTCTCCACTGATCTTCATACACTTCTCGAGATATAACGCCTCTAAATATGTCAACTTCGATATGAACTCAAAACATTTATCATCAACCGCAGTGTTCGATATATCAAGCACTCTGATATGCGACAATATGACCAAATCCTGAATACCAAATGATGTTATTTTACTTCCTTTCAAACACAAATATTCGAGTGTCGGGAATTTGCTGCAAAACACAGTGAGTATTGGGTCGTCTATGGGTTGACTCTCAAACAAAAATTGTTGCAAGTACTTCGGTGGTTCTCTGAAGGAGTCTTTAATCGTTTCTGCATTGACCGCAATGCCAGTCATCCGCAGTATTTCCAAGTTCTTGAGTGAATTTAACGGAGAAATTATTTTGATTCCAATGCACCTCGATATGTCCAACACTCTCAAATACTTAATCCGTGAAATCGTTTGCAGTCCAATATGTGTGATCATCGTATCCTCCACGTTTAATTCTTCCAATGAGTAACTTATAGGTCCATTCTTAAATGCATTCAACGAGTAATCATTAACAGACGCACATCCTTTTAATGATAGTCCAATCAAATTCTCCATTCGAGCAATAACATCAAGATGATAATTCGAAACTTGACTCTCGTTCAAGTACAAATACCTTAATGAATTACATCCGACAATATAAATGAAGCCATCTGTTGTCGAGAGTTGCGATAATGGAGTTTGTGGTGATATGCCAGAAACAGGCAACTGGCATCTAGTGAAGCCAATGAACACCAAATAAGGGAAGAGGTACAAATTATAGAAAAATTCGCTTCCCAGTGGAGCATCCGATATTTCAAGTGAGGTCAAGTGACTGATGTCGACAAACGTTTCAATTTTCCCCACAAAATTTTTCGACGCAATCGACAGTTTCCTCAAAGACGTCAGTCTTCCCAATTTCACAAAGGAAGTAATTTCCTTATCCGACACGTTCACCAATTCAAGTGCAGTGAGTGAATTATACATCCCAAGTTTCTCCATATTGTTTGTGCAAATACTTTCAACACCAAAAGGGGGGACAACGCCGGGACATTCCAGTTGTTTCAATTGAATCTGTTGTTCCAAACAGGCTTGATTGATTTTTCCACACTTCAGCGACGTCAAATTAATAAGACGCGTGACAAGTCCAGCGCAGTCCATAGTCGCCAAAGGGTCTACAGTCAGTTTCTTAACATCTCTGAACAACAAAGACAGTTTTGGGTTTGGTTCTGTCACCACCAACTCACTAATACTCTTTGTCATGTCCTTCCACATTCTACAGACCAGCCTACAATTGACCAAGTCGTGTACTGAAAGGTACTTAAAAATTCGGTGGAAGTCTTTTTCCTCGATATTATTAACTGTACAGTTTTCGTGGTACGTTGTTAATTCAATTGGGTTCTCAGCGACTCCTTTCTCGACCGCCATATTTTGTGGCGTCTTTGTAGTATTTTCTTTATTTTGTTGTGATCCCCTTAACCAGCTGAACATTTTTTTAAAAAGTTTCCTTCGATCTTTTATTTCTTTGTATTTGGTTATTTCAGGCTACTTCTCTTATTTCCTCGTTATTTTAGAGTCTCAAATCCTTTTCTATTTTGTTGTTCTTCTATAATATTATTAAGATTTGGTTAATATTCTTCAAACTTAATAATAACTCAAAAGAAAGACCCAAAAAGCAAATCACTTCATCAGTTTGCTCACAACAAAAACGGTCACAAAGATGATAACAATTGCAGCTACTGTTCGCATCATCGACATCTTGTTTTGCTCTTCGTGAAGTCGATGAGGTTGTCCACCCCCAGAAACTTGTGTGAAGCTTAACAACTTGGTTCTATCGGCACCACTGAAGCGATCAAACTCACTCCCGTTTTTAAAAAGAATGAATGTTGGCATGGAGTGCACAGAATACTTCCCGGCAATGTCTGCCCCTTCTTCAACGTCGACTTTAACAAACTTTATTGATGGTGTTTTTCGAGCCAATTCTTCGAAGTATGGTGCCTTCCAGTTAAAGTGTTATATAGTACATGTCATACACAAAGTGTCCATTATATGTATAACACATATGTGAACTCTTAAATATATTAGAACAAACAATACTCTTACATGGTCCACACCACGTCGCAAAAAAGTCGACAATCACAACTGGATTTCTGCTAATAAACGACTCGAATGTTGAGAGTGAGTTGATGTGTTGTACTGACGACTGTGCCATATCTATTTTTAAGTTCCCATATCATTTTTAGAACAAAAAGAGATGAAACATTGATTAGAATTGAATACTACAAAAGTGTCATAGAAGTTTCTCAATTTCATCCTTCTGTTGTTCGCCGTCTTTAATTATTGGGTCGACTCGGGTCAACTTCTTCTCTGCTTTTTTGCTCTGATCATTTCTTCCTCGAGGTTTCTTACTCTCTTCTCCACTCCGAATTTTCTTCTCTTTCATTCTCTCTTCGATCTTTTCTTCAAGCGAAAACCCGGGCGGGGGTTCATACAAGAACATTATTTGTGATTCCTTGGTTGCTTGAAATGCCGCCTCTTCGCCAAAATTGCTCCGTATATATGCAATTTTTTCCTTTTGCTCGGTGATCTCCGTCTGACGCTTTTTCTCGAGATCGGCTCGCTCTCTTATCTCTTTCTCCGCATTTTCTACTCTCAACCGATTTTTGAAGTTACGCGGATTTGATCGCTTCTTTGCTAAAAAGTCCATTTCGTTTAGCAGTTGTCCTTCCTTGTCTTGAAATGTTATTTAACATGTTTTTTCAATTAACGTATAATAAATAATAACGAGTCTTTGTTTATTGATTATTACTATAAATAACCATAACTTTAATACCAAAATAGTAAAAAACAGCTCGTTAATTTATTATGAAGAGATACTATTTACTCGTTCATTTTATGACCAACCCTACTAAAAGAGATCTGATTAAAACAGAAAACAGGATGGGGAAGTGTTGCCAACTAGTGATGGGTCCTGCAGGCAGCGGGAAGTCGACATATTGTAAATACATAAAACAGTATATGAATGATTTGCATCGCCATCCTTATATGGTCAATTTGGATCCGGCCATTGACCAGAATTACTACGACATTGATATTGACATCAGAGATTTAGTCACCGTGGAAGACGTGATGGAAGAAATGAGTTTTGGACCGAACGGTGCGCTGGTGTATTGTTTGGAATATTTTTTGGATAACCTTGAGTGGTTTGATGAGAAGCTGGGCGACTACGACGACGATTATTTGATCATTGATTGCCCTGGGCAAATCGAGTTATACAGCCATTTACCAGTTATGTCGAGATTTGTGGATTATATGAAGGAACAGAACTATAACGTTTGTTTAATTGTATTATAAGTAATTGGTGGTGTGTTAACAGTGTAGGTGTGTGCTGTCTTTCTTGTTGATTCGCAAGTGCTCACCGACTCCACTAAATACGTGAGTGCCGTGTTGTGCTGTTTGTCTGTGATGTCGTCGCTTGAAATTCCTCATATCAATGTGATGTCGAAAATGGATATGTGGAGTAAAAATTTGCAAGACCCAGAGACGTTCTATGATTTCTTAGACCAAGACCCCCTTTTCTCGTCTGACCTGGATGAGAAAATGGGAGATAAGTACCACAGACTCAACGCTGCTTTGGTACAGTTAGTCCAAAGTTATGCTCTTGTCGGGTTTACTCCATTGAATATCAAAGATGAAGACACTATAGATGTTCTCCTCCAGAAGGTAGATACTTGTGTCCAATATTATGACGATGTAGAACCACAAGAACCTAAAGATGAAGACGTGAATGAAACTGATTGATTGTTGTCTATTGTTATCACTATTATTAGAAGAATACTATTGTTAAACTTCTAGTATTGTTATACTAGTTAATTATAAATAAATTATTATAAAAGTATTCTATTTGATTAGATGGCAAATTCTATCGTATTTGGAGAATGGAAGATAACAGAGGAATACAAAAACACTAAATATCTGCAAGAGAAGAAGACCTCCCATTCGACAAAACATGGCCATAGAAATAAAACCAACAGAGGAGCACATTTGAAGTGTGGTGCACAAAACAACACAATGCAACAAATAATGAAAGTAAGATAAATACCAAATTTGCAATCCAAAACACTATCTTTACCGTCGGAAGAAGCACCTTTTCACACGAAGAACACTGCTCTTTCACACAAGAACATTCATCAACCGGTTGGTTGTCTGAGCAACAACTGAACTATACGTAAATGGTTTGAAACTATTAAATTATAGTTTAATTTACAACAACACAAACGAGACGTTCATAGAAATCAAGAGTGTCTTTGGTGATTGGTTGCTCTTCCCTTCTGAATGAAAAGGGGAGGCACACAAAAAGTAAAACAATGCAACACGATGCCAACGCAAGTGTTATAAAAGAGAGACATGGTGGGTACGGTTCGTCCTTTTGGCGGATTCGTACTGAAAGAAGGGCGTGTGCGATGAAAAGGAGTGTTTCAATAAGTATACACAAAATGATCACAAACTCGTAGAAGAATATGTTTTGTCCGAAAAACACACCACCACCGACAAACACAAACGCAATTGAGATGACCACTAGTGTCACACCAGATGCAAAAAGTTCCAAAAAGTTGAATATGTTTTCTCGTTGAGTGTACTTTTCGAAGTCGATGTCTTTGTTCATTCAAAATTCACAACAAAGTGAGTTGCAGTTTTTTTGTCGTATTTTTGAAGTCTTTTTCTTTTCTAATTTTTATGGTCGACTTTTCCTTGTGTTTGTTGCAACAATTGTTCTTTTTTATTTTTTCAACAAATTATTGAAAAAGAAGAATAAAATAATTTTCCACTATTTTATTATTATTATTTGTTAGTATTAATATAATAATAAACTAGTTATTGTTTTCGAAAAATCCACTTTTGTTGATACTAAAAAAAATATACTATTATTTAGTATGAAATAATCCAATTTGTTATATTTTGAACCAATAAAAAGACGTTTATTGTTTTCTTGCAATTAATTAATTAATTAATAACAAATAAAGTAGTGTTTTGATTAAGAATTTGTCCTTCGTTTGTTTATTCAATAGTAAAATAATATATTCTATTATAATATTATTCAAATAGAAAATAAAAACTATTAACAATATAATATTTACTTAATGAAGTAAAATGAGAGTTTTTTTCTTTCATACAGTTGACCAAGTAATTATCAGAGACCAAACAATTGTCAGAAGGGTGTATTTCCCATTGATTATTTTGGAAATAACGGGTTTTTTAAAAAAGTGAAAAAAAGGTACACCAAAAAATGGTAAAAAACTTAAATCTATTTTAATAATAGTTCTTATCTAAAGTTTTATAACTATTAATTTTACTTCTTACAATTATTTGGTCTCTGACTATCATTTTGTCAACTGTACAACATGTGTAACTACATATTACAAAGAAAATGAGTTAAACAATTGTCCTTTTGGTATATTTACGATGGTGTTCTCTCCCAAGAACTCCATGAGGTGGACGTTGATCTCGACACCCGCCTCGATGATACTATTTTGCCCAAACGTCTCTCCTCTGAATTGTATTTCGACAAACCTCTCCATCTGCTCCAAGTCTTTTTTGGTTGATTTGCTTTGAATAGCAACACCACTGTGCACCGCCAAGTCGGTTAAATAGTTGTTGATATATACTCGTTTCAGGTGGTCGACTTTACGACTCGCCTGTTTGACTGTCATTGATTTGCAAAACTGCGTAAAATCTTCCTCCACCCTCTCATTCAAAAATTTTGTCATGTCCATTTTGTCCTTCCCGAAGTCTATTTCGAGCAAGTCTGGAAAACAGAAGTTGACTGTTGACCGTTTCTTCGGGCGTTGAAAAGTGAACGAAAATTGTTCGTTGAGTATCCACGTCAAAAAAGAGAGTTGCGCGACTTCCTTCGTCTTTTTGTCACGACTTTGGCGGGTTTGGATGTTTTCTTTTGTGGAATTAGAAGGTGCAGACGACATACTATTTTCAAGATTTTTTTATTAATTCATTAACTATTATATATCTAGTTATATAGTTGTGAATCTTAACTATTTCATACTAATAAATTATGATAATGTTTTTTTATTATTTTTTTTATTATAACATTTGGATTACTTTCAAGTGACATCAAGCATTTTATAAAAAAATACATTTATTATTGAGTACGTTTGACCCAATTAAATTATACATTTATAGTTTATTATATTAAAATTTACCAGATAAATATTCACCACCGAATATTTATTCAACACTCGATAAGAGGTAATGAAGTAACTTTCGACAAACTCTATGTTAAAGTTCCTCAAAACATTCCCAAGAATACAAACAAAAACAGTAGAGTTAGATGATTATGCACTTTTTCCCTTTTCCTTTCTTCTTGCCTTCCTGTACGGAGGCTGACTCTTTAAGTGTAGGGTCTTGATTCAAGACATCATTCAGAACTGATTTGAACATTTCTTGTATCCCCTCACCGGTTTTTATGTTGATCTCAAAGTAATGGATCCCCATCTTTTCTGCAGCTTGTTTCGCCTCTTCGGAAGTGATTGTCTTCGGTTGGTCCGTCACGATGTTCTGTACCAAAACTTTAACATATGGAATATCATCCGCAACAAGACGCTCCCTGAGAATAAGCCAATTTGATATGTTTGATAAAGAAGAGTCGACACTGGAACTTACCAATCCAATGACAATGCGAGCTCCCTTGAACTCCAGCCCATACCCAGAAATCTCAGTGTTTGTGTCGACAAACTCCCCAAGTTGAATTCGGTATTTTGTTTTGTCAAGTAAGAAGACGAAATCGTTAAAGAAATTGCGCGGTGGGTTAACTGGTTTCGATTCCGGAAATTCGTTGTTGACAAGTTGCGAAACCAAACTACTTTTTCCTGCCCCAGAATCACCAACAATAATCGCCTTAATACTAGTTGTCAGTCATCTCTCTGGACAAATAAAAAATTGTTTCCAAACCGTTGAGCCATTCTATTCTTTTAAAGTTTCATCGAATTTTGAAAAAACTACGAAAAGTTTCATTCAATATTAAGTTATTGTTTTATTAGTTTTGAATCTAGTACTCTAAACCAATTAATTATAGCTCTTTTTTAATTTTGCATAAATTGAGAATGTAAACTATATATATAGGTTAGTTTAATTTCATTTTTTTATTGTTATTTTATTGTTTAATTATAGTTCATTTTTATTCGTATTTTTCAATAATTTTTTTAAAAAAGCCAGTTTTATAGTTTTTTAATTATTGTAAAATAGTTATTATAATATTATAGTTTTGTATAAAATTAAATAAAAAATTATTAAAAAAATTAAAACAAAATGAATTAAAAAATTGTAAATGAAAGATTTATCGTAATTACATGACTTTACGATTGATCTTGTAATTCCATAAATGTTTTCAAGATTTCTCCGATTTTTGGTCTACTTTCCAGTTTTTGTTCCCAGCATTTAGTGACCAAGTTTTTTATCTTCTCATCGACAGAATTTGGTACATCTGGGCGTTTCCCTTTAACAATTTCAGTTGCTGCGTCCCACCCATTACTAAATGGTCTTTCTGGGTACACCATTTTTTGTTGGTAAATTTCTAATATAGACATTCCAAGTGAGTAGACATCCGCCTCTGCGGTTAGTGAACTTTCTTTGAAACACTCTGGAGCTGTGAAGTATGAGTTTTGCATCATAATTTCGTTGTCGGCTTCGATCTTTGGAATGATCAATGACGTCATCTCCGCCAAATCCCAGTAATGTCCGAGTTTACAACACACAGTCGATTGTGGGTTGATAGAGACCATTAGCATATTAGTCGGTTTGATACACCCATGGACTCTATTATTTGAATGTAAATATTGTATTCCTTTGCACACATCAATAAGAACCTTTTCGCGAAGTTTGAGCTCCATCTCTCCTCTTCTGTAACACGTCCGAGCATTTCCATGTTCTGCAAATTCCATGACGAGTGCTTCGTGGTTTGGTGTCACAACACACCCAAAAATGGTTATCAAATTGGAGTGCCTCATCTGTGTCACCTCTCCAAGTCGCTCCACAAAGAAGCTCCTTGCCTCTTCCGTCCAACTCAACTTGAACTTTTTGACGACAACAGTTTGTCCCCTATATGTGGAAACTACCACATCCCCATGTAACCCATTTGCGATCAATTCCTTTGTACTAATTTCTTTGAAATCAAGAAGAAGAGTGTCTTCGCATGACGCACAGACTTGAACGGGGGTTGTCACAATGTCTTCGTCTATCGCGTCAACCTCTGATGTTCCGTCAAATGAAACGACATTAATTGGTGGGTATTGTTTACACGAGCATTTTAATGTTATTGTGAATTGAACATCAACTGAAGAATGTGGACCTAAGACTCCACACTCCGGTTCAGTCTTGAGAATGTATTGTGTCGCATCAAACTCAATTTTAAATGATTTTTCAATGTCCGATGTATTGGTGATGTTGATTTCATCTGTGTATTGTGTGTTGATGGACATTGTGATTCCTTCGCTCTCAAAAGTCAGCTCCGTCTTACTCAAATGGAGTGGAAAATCATCCGAGTGTACTCGAGAGTATCTGTCTCGCGAGGATGTGGTCTTCTTTCGAGACAAAAACCACACTACTATTATTAAAACCATCACAAGAGCCAATAGCAAACTACACGTTATCGATACTCCAAGTATCCAATGTGTCGACTGAACACATTCCCCTTTAACATAGAAATATCCGGGCGGGCAAATAAGAGGGGGGGAGTTCGTTGAGTTGTCGAAGGTTGTGTTGCTGCTCGTCGAATTTGACATATATAAATTTTTAGTTCTTTTTTCTATCTTTCAGGTATTAAATATGTGTGTAATACTCATATACAATCCATACTCAAACGATTACTAAAAATCACTCTCCAAACATTAACATTAATACCTTATTGTTTAGATTGTTCTGACATAATATTATCTTTACAGTATTTCAACATCTTTTGAATCCATTTGTCTGTCCATCTGTTATGTTTTATTATATGGTTTTTAAAAACTATTTATAATTATATTTTATAAAAAATTATTAATTTTATTTTATTTAGTTATTAATTATGATTTCAACATTAATAATTTTATCTTATAAATTTAGTCTTGAACCTCGGACTAAATATTCTTTTTTGATGATTCAAAACCACAAAAAAGTGACCAAAAACCACAGAAAGTAAATACAATAACCCGATTTGTTAATGGACGAAGTGTTGAAAAAAAGACACGAGGAGTATAAGTCGATGAAAAGTCGTAAACTCTAGTTGAGATATAAGATGATTCTTCATTAAATACACTTGAAATTGTGATGCAATTTGATATATTCAATATCATATCCACATCTGTGTTATCATACAGTGTTCCTCCTTCAAAATAAAAGCAATTCCCGTCGCGAATAACAAAATTAAATTTAGTCTTTCCATATCTTTTTACTTTGTCGAACACAAACCCTAATATTTCACTCGAGTTATTCATCAACACTACAATACACACATTTTCCCTTCCAAATACACTTTTTTGAAGTGTTTCATTGTTTATATCCATTTCGTCCGAATCAACAATCACATCGTATTTCCTTGTCTTTAACATCCGATAGAAATACGCTTCTTCAATACTCATCAAACCAAAGTTCTTTAATTTGTGAGTTCCAACCTTCGCAAAACAAAGTAGTACAACACATGTAAATCAAAGTTCTTCGTCTTCAAGTTTAAAGTATCTTTCAATCAGCTCTCCCGCCAAGTCCACAACCAATTCACAGTCAGACGTTTTCATTATATTTTCCAAGACATAGTCGATGCCAAGTTCCAAGAGATTTTTATTCACAACTTCGTCATTGACGTTCAGTAAGTCTGCAAGTACACGCACGCCAAGTTCTTGAGTTTGTTTCGACATATTTTCCAAGGTTACTCCTTTCAAAATAGCTCTCAGAAACCCGTCAATATTATCGACCAAATACCGAATCATTCCTTCATGATATTTCTCCCATGTTACTGTAAAAAAGAGGACGTTCGCCATTTCGACTAATACACGAGTTTCTGTGTCCCCTTTTAACACTTCTTGTACACACATCTTAATCACTCCATATTGGACCAAATCGTTCATCATACCACATTCTTTGGTGAAAGCAAAATTGGAAAAACAGTTCAAAATAGCAACCAAATCGTCTTTGCAATTCCCTTCAGCAATTACATTCATCAAAAACCCTATAGTACATGAGT